TGAAGTAGCTGAAGTAGCTGAAGTAGCTGAAGTAGCTGAAGTAGCTGAAGAAGATAAAGAAGGTAAAGAAGCTAAAGAAGCTGAAGCTTAAGAGCGGCGAATTGACTCGCAACTTGCGCAGGAGCCCTCGCAAGCACGATGGGGGGGCCGAACGACTCGACAGACCTATACGACATGCTGTACCTCCTCTTCGATGACTACATTGTAAAAAACAGCAAACAACCCAACACGTACGAGTCCCTCTTCCGCAAAAAGGAGTTCCTCCAGTTTGCAAAGATCCATGGCGCTACCGCAGTAGTCACTTCCCCCAAGGAAGTGATAAAGAATAAAGACGAAATCATAGACGAGCTCATTTACGCATTTAAGCTCTTCGCAAAGTACACCACCATGTGTGATGTTTTCTCCAAAAATGAAGAAGTAGACGATATCAACACCGGATATCTAAAATTTCTACTCATCCCATACATACTGGGGGTCCTATGCTATGAAACAATCAACATAGAGATTCGAAGCGACCGATTGAAGGATGCAAAGTTGTACTTCGCTGAATTCATTAACGTCATAAATATGTATAATATAGCCCCCGTGGAAGATTACCTCCTGGATAAGGCCGCAGACACGTCAGAGGCGATGAACAGGAGGAACATAAAGATCAAAAGAGCCAAGGACGAGAAGATGTTTCAGGACTTGTATGATGATATCATTAAAATGAAGGTGAAAAAAGCTACCTCTCACAATTATAACCCTTCCTGCTTCTCTCATGACATGGAAGAGGAACAACTTAGGGAACTTTCCCTATCCTTGATAAAGTGCAAATGTCTGCAAACGCTTAACATTATGGACTTAATAGACACGGAGCTCCAGGTGTTAGAGATGCGCACAAGCCACCACCATCAGGATGAGCACCAGCAGAATGGGCGACTTACACCCCATCCGAAGCAGCCACATGAGGGGCAACCCCCCCAGAGAAACCATCCAAACGACGGCGTTAGAAAGCCCTGGCTCTTCACCATCAAAAAGAACATGCCTGTTGCCGACATGACTGAAATGAGGAACTATTACAGAGATCTCGTCTTCACCCCTGCACATAATTTGCCGACGATATCGCTAGAAGAGTGCGCCAAAATTGAAATGGAATACGCCGTCAAAGGCAAGGGGGGGGGCATCCCCCTCGGCAGCGAAGACGAACGGAAGGGAACCACAAGGGGGGATGCGGAAAAGGGTGATGTTGAAAACGGCGCCGATGAAGAGGACTACGAAAATTGTTCCAGAGAAGAAAGCGAGAAGGAGGTCATGGACAGGGAGTGGGACGACTGGAAGGATATGCATCAGAAGGGGATTGGGAACAAAAATAGAAACGTCGCTTGACCGGGAGAAGCAGCGTATAACTTGCGTGTTAGCACAGCGCAGCTAGGTGTGCATCCCTCCTTATGGTCCTGCGCCAATGCGCGAAGCAGTCATGCGAAGGATGGCCGAACGAAGGAAAAAGTGCAGAGCAATACATCAACGGGGAAACACCGAAGGGGGGGAGAAGACCGAGCGGGCACATAAACTAACTCACGCCGAAGGAATCAAGACGAATTGGCGATGGAATTCCCCCGTAACGTGCCCAGAAGCACACACCTGCGTGAAGCCACGTCGCGCCAGGGTCCTACTTTCCACCCGCATACGCGCAGACATCCCCATGTACGTTCCCCCTGGATGGGTGCTCCTCCGCGCAATCCATAATTTACCTTCCGAGG